TCTCCACGCTGTGGCCCCGACAGTTCCATCTGAGGACACTTTCCACACTGTGGCCCCGACAGCTCCATCTCCACCCTGTGGCCCCGACAGTTCCATCTGAGGACACTGTTTTGCTTTTCTGGGGGTGAATCCTAGAAATCTTGGTTTATACACAACATTCTCCTTATTCACCTCCGAGAACTCTGTGGACCTTCTGGGGAATGAGCAGAGAATCAGATCCTTTCTGGAGATGCAAAGTGAGAAAAGAGAGAAATTTGTGCTCTCAAAGGGCATTCTTACCTGCTTGGGTGTATGGCTGAGGGTCTTGTTGCAACACTCCCTGTGGGGGGAGAGGGAAACTGACACTTCTGAGCGGTAACAGAGGGTACAGCATGAATTGCAGCATCCTATTGCTGTGATGATGACTTTTTCCTCCCCTGATGATGACTTTTTCCTCCCCGAAGCTCCAGAGCACTTAGAAATGGTTCTGACCCTCATTTGCAGCTCTCAGCTGTTTGCACCGGCGTCTCCTGCTGGCAGCTGCCTCCTCCTGCCTCCTGCCCAGCGTGTCTGTGTCTGTGTCTCCGTGTCTGCCTGAGGCCCACTCCCCTCCTCACCAGTGGGAGGGACAGCTCATGCCCAGGGTCTGCTGAAGAGGACAGGAGAGAACCGGAACAGTATCGCTGTGGCCGGGGCAGCATCTTTGCCCTCCCTGAGTCTCCTGGGCTCCAGGAGATTCTGTCCTGGGGTGGGAGAGGGAAACACGCAGCAGCCTGGCAGGCCGGGGATGACTCGGCGTTTCTCTCTCTCTCCAGGCAGGCCTGGCCAGAGCAGGCTCTGTGTGTGGAAGTACAAGCCCACCCACTTGTACAATTCTCTTTGCAGGGCACGCCACCATCACCAACTACTTGCTGAACTATTTCCCTGGTCTTGACCTTGAAAGGAGGAACGTGTTTGGGTTCACAGCTCTGATGAAAGCCGCCATGCAGGGACGGACAGATTGCATCCGAGCCCTGATGCTGGCAGGTAGGTACCACCTGTCCCGGGCAGCCCCTTAAAGAATATGTTTTGAGGGGACTCACTCCTGTAGAAACAAAGCCCAGTTAGAAGTTGCAATAAAAGCATCGTTTCTTTGTCGAGGTTTGTGGCTGTCATCACCTAAGTTTAAAAAAAAAAAGCCAAAAGCAAGTGCCTTGGCATCTGGGAGGGAGATCACAGTCAGGACACACCTGCTAGGTCCCTGCTGAGCAGGGGAGGGGGGTGACATCTTCCTTCTCTCCTTAGCTTCCCCCCTGCCCACCATCCTGCTCCCTAACCCCCTGTATATCCCTCTTCAAAAATGGGTATTTCCATCTTGGTTGTGAAAAGCAAGGCTGTTCTATTGAAGGTGCTGCTGGTGGGATGGCCCAGGCCACCCAGCTTCCTGCTTCCTGCTGGTGAGGAAGTGTGTGGCAGTTTCCTTTCCCTATGATGTGTCCTAGACTGGAAGGTTCTTAGGCTAAATCTTTGGATACATAGTGCAAACCCTTTTGCTTCCTGCAGCTTCTTGGGGAAAGCATTTCCTCCCTGTCTCCATCTGTAAAATGGGAACAACGACCTTGCTCTTCCCACCTCCCAGAAGACAAAATATGATAATAATTTGAAAATCTTCGGGGCTGTACAAATTTAAGGAACTACTGAGTTAAATTCCACACAACTAATCTCACTAATTCCTTTCCTCACTCTGAAGTGGAATCAGTGATCATCTTTAGCACAACCTCCTGGGTTATTTTGAGAATCAATTCAGAGATGAGTTTCAACAGAGGTGTTGGACACAGTTAGCAGCTGACATCTCAGCCAGGGTTCGTGGCTGCTCTCACTATTTAATTTTGTTATTTTATTTATTTATTTATTTATTTATTTATTTTTTGAGACAGAGTCTCACCATGTCACCTTCATTAGAGTGGTGTGGCATCACAGCTCACAGCAACCTCAAACTCTTGGGCTTAAGCTATTCTCTTGCCTCAGCCTCCCAAGTAGCTGGGATTACAGGCACCTGGCACAATGCCCGGCTATTTTTTGTTGTAGGTGTCATTGTTGTTCAGCTGGCCTGGGCCGAGTTTGAACCCGCCAGTCTGGGTGTATGTGGCCGACGCTGTAACCACTGTGCTATGGGCATGGAGCCTAATTCTGTTATTTTAATTTATCTGTCTTTTTGCTCTTGGCACTGGGTTCAGCCAATCCCACTTGGCACTATGAGTTCCTGAAGAAGTGGCAATTTTCCTGTGCCTTTCGTTCTTACTGCTATAACAAAATACCTAAGACTAGGAAATTTATAAGCCATGGAAATTTAATGCTTTACCACTGGGGAGGCTGGGAAGTCCTAGATGGAGGTGCTGGTAGGTTTGATGTTTGGAGAGGGCCTGTTCATTTTTCTATATCCTCATGGCAGAGAGCGCAAGGAGGCTCCCTCAGGCCCCTTTACAGGGTGCCAAGCCCATGCGTGAGGACAGAGTCCTGTGCCCCAACCACCTCCTAACACCATCCCAGTGGGTATGAAGTTCTAATGTTTGAATTTGGGGGAGGGCACCAGCATGCACCCTACTGTCTTGGATATCCTGAGGACAGCATCAGGGATGCCTAGGTCCTCCCAGACCTCAGTTCTTCCACCAGTGTGTCTTGTGTTCCAGTTCTGAAGCTCCCACACTTAGCCGTCACATGTCCTTAATCCTCTCTGGTCTGAGAAAGGTCCTAGTCTTAACCCTGTTGTCTCTGACTCAAAAGTCATGACACTGGCCTCTGTACAACCTGAGCCTGTCTGTTGTTTTTCTTGTAATTAGTCTGGGGTTATAGGATTGACAATTGGCTTTGTAATTTTTTTTTTCTTACTGCTTTAACCTGCGTGTCTTAGGGGATACCATAAGAAAAATAAATCCGTGAACAAGGATAGAAGCTTTAAAGATGCAATAAAAACAAAAAGATCATAATTCAAACGAATCCATTGATTGTGCTTTTGATTTGGTGACAGTTTGATCTTTTAAAAATAGGAGATGAGTTTCAACAGAGGTTAGGCCCTGCCTGTCCTGTACCAGTGAGAAATGGTTCCCGCTCATTAAATGGTAATAACACGATATATTTGGTGGAAGCTTCATCTGATTTTACCACCACTGGATCTGGGTAGAAGTGAGTGGAGATCTTTAGAAATTTACTTTTCAATTCCTGGTGAATTAATTTGAAATAATCACTCTGGAAAATGTGTAGGGCTGTGTTTCACCGTCACTCTTCCTTCCCTGTTTTTCTTAGAGGTTTCAGCCATTTGTTCTATAGCTTTTACAGGATTCTAGCAAGACCTTTCAATCACGAGGGGTGGTGAGCCTGCTTGAGGGCAGTGGGTTCACAGTGTCCTCCCCACCCTGTTAATTGGGTACAGATTCAATGCTAGCTGTTACTGGTTTCCCTCTCCAGCTCCCCCTTCATGAGCCCCTCCCTCATAAAGTCTAGGCTCATCTGCATGAGTCCAGGCCCGTGTCTGCGGGTCCTCTATCAGGTCAGACAACCCAGAGGGCAGAACGGCTGGACCTTGGATTCACATCCTCCCCTGCACTGTCACTAACCTCTCTGGGCCTCAGTTTCCTCTTCAGCAGGCAGGTGTGGCAGGGTTGAGTGGGTTCACATAAAGACAGCCTCAGACACGTGTGAGGTTCTGGTGTGGATGAAGCCTTCATAAATATTGGTTATGATTACTATTGTTATTTTCGTGATAGGTGGGTTTATGTACTCAATAGTTATTTGTTAAATGAATGAAAAAATATGGAATATGAAAAAATATGGTATTGGCCGGGCGCGGTGGCTCATGCCTGTAATCCTAGCACTCTGGGAGGCCAAGGCAGGTGGATTGCTTGAGCTCATGAGATGAGCCTGAGCCAAAGTGAGACCCTGCCTCTACTAAAAATAGAAAAACTGAAGCCAGAGGATCACTGGAGCCCGAGTTGGCAGTTACTGTGAGCTATGATGCCATGGCACTCTATCCAGCATGACAGCTTGAGATGCCTCCAAATTAAAAAAAAGGTATATTTTTCCCTTTGAAAAATATTGTGATGAGATACTTGAACTTATTGACTGTAGTAAGCATGTAACTCAAGAGCAGGAGTCCTCAAACTTTTTAAACAGGGGGCCAGTTCACTGCCCCTCAGACCATTGGAGGGCCGGACTGCGGGCCCCGGGATGAGTTGGCTGCTAAGCAGGACAGGCAGCGGTGGCAAAAATACCTGGCAGGCCGGATAAATGTCCTAGGTGGGCTGCATCTGGCCTGCGGGCCGTAGTTTGAGGACACCTGCTCAAGAGGTTTCTGAATCTCGGCCCTGTTGACATTGGGGGCTAGATAATTCTTGGTTGGGAGCGCTGTCCTTCAGATTGTAGCACTTCCTGCAGCATCCCTGGCCTCCACCCACTAGAGCTGACTGTTGGGACAACTGAAAACATCTCTAGACATTGCTTTCTGTAGGGAACCACTGATGTAACTAATTTAAATGGGAAAAGGTGGACACAGTGAGAAGAGCATCACCCACCCCGCATGCTTTCTTCCTGGCCAGCTTGTTCTGTATTCTTGCTTAAAATAAAAATGGGGCATCCTTTTCAGGGGGCTTTTGAGCCTCTTGGGTTTCGGTTGTAGTGTTTAACTGCCAGAATGGTTTTATTTTCCCTGTAGAGTAGATGTGTGAGTAGGTTTTCAAAGAAGCAGAGCGTGTGGAGTGGTTTCCCTGGGTTTTGTGGACAGCAGTAAGGATGCTTGTTGATATATTTTAAAAATCTGTGCAGACATTTTTAAGTTTTCTTATTTCCATTTAAGTATATTAATGTTAAGAAAAAACATTTAAAGAAACTGAGCATCTTTTTAGATTGACAACTTCAGCATAAAGTGTATTTATGCGTAGCTGATGAAGCATTTAAAGATACTGAGAGGTCTCTGCAGAACAGTCATCCTATGATAATTCTAAACCCAGACACACAAGCATAACTGCCTGTTAATGGTAAAAAATGTGCATCTCATTCTAATTCTTTCAGGCGCAGCATGTTCCTCAACCCAGGTGTTGTCTTCACCTGAGTCGCAATTTCATTCTGTTCCGTAGGAACCATTTTCTTTCAGAACTGATGAATTGGTGAATTCAGCTCCCCCGTAAACTGTTGAGATTTTCCTGTAGTTCGTCACATACAAGCACAGATCAGCTCTTACCTGCCTTGTCAGGTAGAAGAGAATAATGTTAGAATTACTGGAACCTTGGGTTTTAATACAAAATCTGTATAACCAGGTTCTGAAAAGCCAGCTGCTTGGATCTTCTGGTTTGGGATTCCTGAGGAATGGTGTCAGCTCCGCTCATGAGCAGAATCTTGTTAATGCGGTGAAATATTAATGCCCCCGAGCGACAGGTCTGTTTAAATAACTGGCTCTGAGAAGTGGATCGAAGATGTGATTTTTCTTTTAAAGAGAGCAGAACTGGTGGAGGTTGGCAGATTCCAGTCTCGCTTAAGGGAGCTCACGCTCACACTTGAACCGTGGTATAAGCTCCACAGCCTTTGGGAGGCAAAAGCAAACAAAAACCTTGAATATTTCTATGATTGTAGGGGAAAAAAAAAAAAAACCTTTGAAGCTTCGTGTGATTCTGGATATAAAGGAAGGTGAGGAATGAGAGCAGGGCCATTCCCTCCCATTGTCAGTTAGGCGGTCACTCTTGGCTCAGGCAAGCCTCATGGTTCTGGAAAGTCAGGTGATTGATATCCAGACACAGGTTATTTTCTGTTGATAAGGGAAATATGAATTTCCTGTGAACTGAGAATTTGCCATGTGGAATTATTTCAAGTTACTAGCTGGAGCAAGGGCTAAAAGCCTTGCATTCCCTATGAGCCCCAACAGCAACCCGGGAGACAAGGACTTGGGGGCGGGCGGTTTTTCTGGAAAGTGACCCCAGGAGGTGGAGTGAGGGGGAAGGGGAGTAAGATTTAAACAGGGTGGAAACTAAAAAATGTGCACTGGTGAGCAGGTCATTCTTGGGCGGCTGGGACTCAGACCTCCTGGACTCTCAACACGAGTAAAAGATATTACTGAGATGTCCTGCCAAGGGCAGCTGGGCCTTCCACCCCTGACTCTGGCCTTGTTTCCACCTGCCATGCCACGGAGGTGGCCTGTCGTCACTGCTGCGTTAAAGTGTGGGCCCTTTTCAGTGACCCCACATCCAGTTTAGTCCTAAAAGTACCCAAGGTACAGGCCAGACGTGTCTTAAGAGGAGGCTGGCAAGGGCTGGCCCACAGAGAGCCCCTGCCGAAGGCCTCTCGGCAGGAGGGAGACCTGAGCTGGGCTTTGCAGGGGGGACAACACAGGGCTGGGGGCTGACAGAGAGCTAGCAGAGGAGGTGGCACATAAGGACTTCACGCCCCACCCTTCTCCTGCTGGTCCTGCAGACTTGCCTGTGACTCCCAGAACAAGTGTTCCTGAGAATGAGTGAGGGAAAGTGGACTTTTTTTTTCCTTTTAGCAACTGTTTAGAATGTTTTCTGCTGCAAGTAACAGAAATCCTAACTAGACTGTCTGTAGCTTTCCCCACTCTAGACATCTTGAGGTTGGCAGTCACCATCCAGAGCTGGCCTTGGACTCCCGGAAGACATCTCAGCTCCGGCTTCTTTTCTTCTGGTGACTCGTCACCTTCTGATTTCCTGAGAGCCACCAGCCCCTCCCCAGGCCTCAGAGATTCGTTTCAACAGAAAGCAGCAGCTACACTGCTCTGTCAGGGGGCAAACTCCCCTAGGGCTCAGTGGCCAGCACGGGTCACTTAGCCACTTGGAGCTGTCAGGGAGGCTGGCAAAATGGGCAGCAGGATTACAGTCATTAGATGGATGTGATTCCTTGGGACGTTTGCCTGTGTCTAGAGACATTTTCAGTTGTCACAGCTGATAGCGTGCCACTGATATCTAGATTAGTGTTTTCCAACCTTTTTTTTAAAAATCTCACAGTACACTTGAACCTATAGTAAAACTTCCATGGCACACTTAAATTACATTGATCAAAAAAATAAAAAAAAGAATATAGGGTGCTGCTTGTGGCTCAGTGGGTAGGGTGCGAGGCCCCAGATACAAAGGGTGGCGAGTTCGAACCTGGCCCCGGTCAAACTGCAACAAAAAATAGCCAGGCATTGTGGCAGGTGCATATAGTCCCAGCTCCTCGGGAAGCTGAGGTGGAGAATCGCCTAAGCCCAAGAGCTGGAGGTTGCTGTGAGCTGTGATGCCACGGCACTCTACTGAGGGTGATAAAGTGGGGGGGGGGAGAATATACTTAACGTTTTGAACTTCTTTCAAAAATAATTTAATTAATGATCTTTAAAAATTGTCATGGCACACCTAAGATCTACTCCACATCAGTTGAACATCATTGATCTGGAGGGCACTGCCAGGGATGTGGTTTAAAGTCCTACAGTGCACAGAACAGCCCCCATAGCAAATCATTAATTACCTGGCCCAAAAGGTAAGAGAACAACAGGAAGAGGAGTGGGAAAGTTTGGCCAGCTCTGCCTCTGGTTTTCCACTAGCATTTGAAAAATGTCTCTTTCAAGCAGTGTTCATTAAGATTTTAATTTTGCAGTTTGTTCCTCTCTTAAGTGACATGCAATTAATTAAGGTTTAATGTGTCATCTATTTTTTGTGGTGACATTTTTACTGCCCCCTTTTCGTTTTAGTCAGTTTATAAATTGTACTCTAGCTAATGAGTTCCACCCTGATTTCCAGTTCCAGATAATTACCACTCTTCTAATATGGCTATTCTTTAACGTGTCACAGAATTAAGACCGTTACCTGGCCAACTCAGGTAAGCTGAGTCTGCCTGGGCCATGAGGCCACTGTGGGCTGGCCGGGCAGGGAAGCGGCTAGGGCCTCACTTCTCTGGGTTCAGGAGTACGGTTCAGCCGCCACATGTCAGGTACCTGAGTCTGTGCAGGATATAAATGCAGAAGCCTCTGCCGGCTGTGTCCCTGAGGAGCTCACAGACTAGATAATTGCCCTAGTTCTCTACATTGCCTTGCTGGGAGAGTTATAACTAATGGGACTTGAAATCAGAATGATTTTTAACTGTTTATGGGCTGAGATTGGACCAAAATTAATAGAACAGCAATTCTATATTAATTCTGTAGGACTGAGTCAAAATTTATGCAGATTTCATCACATTGAGCTGCAGTTTGACTTTGTGATATTTGGAGGCAGTGGGTGGTCCAGGGAGACGGTGGGGATCTTTCAGTCCAGGTTTTCCAGCCCTCGCCCTTCCCTCTCCCTCTCCC